CCTACCAATCAATACTCAGATTTAAGGACAAAAGATTCAACAGTGGCTCATCTAGAAGTTGTAGGTAACACCTTCCATATTTCCCATTCACACATTTGAAACTCACAAAGTATTCCCCACTCCATGTGTCTAATTTTACATACACAAATGATACAACAGAGTAAGATAAACAAAACCAGCAGACCATAACATGAAAATCGATGGGTTACATGAAATAATTTGCTCAAACCACCCTTGAGTTATGTATATTCATGTCCATGAGTCCATTTCATAAAGTGGCCGGGGGGGGAGGGGAGATTGTCACACACACCCCAACCCAGTTTTGTTCAATAAAGAGAGTTTATTTTCGTCCATGTATGTCTTTACTGTACATTAGGGAGGGGTTAGTGAAAGGATGTGAGGATGGTGAGGCTTTAGTCCTATTCCGGGTGGAAGCTCTCCTGCAGGGCCTCTCGGATACGGACAGCCCCCCAGTGGGCCTCCTGGCTGGCAGTTGGGCAGGCCTACATGTACAGGCTAACCAAGTGCTCAGTCTCTGCCATTCTCTTGCACAAATTGTGCAGCATGCAGCATGCTGCCACCATGTGCGGAGTATTCCACTCAGAGAGGTCCAGGCAGATGAGGAGGCATCTAAAACGGGCCTTCAGCCAGCCGAAGGCACCCTCTACCACGATGTGGGCCTGGCCAAGCCTGGCATTAAAGGCCTGTTGGGAAGGATTGAGGTGTCCCATGTAGGGCTTCATGAGCCAGGATTGTAGGGGGTAGGCTGTGTCCCTGACCAGGCACACAGGCATGTCCACATCCCTGACCCTGATGTGGCTCTTGGGGAAGAAAGCAACCAGCATACAGCCTCTGGCACACGGAGGAGTTGCAGTAAACCTGTGCGTCGTGTGCTTTGCTGGACCAGCCCTTGTTAATGTCCATGAATTGGTCCCGGTGGTCAGACACAGCCTGCAGGATAACTGAGAAGTATCCCTTCCGGTTGATGTACAGGGAGGCCTGGTGTTCTGGGGCATGGATGGGGATGTATGTCCCGTCAATTGCCACTCCTACACGGAGGAGTTGTGGTACACCCGCGCGTCATGTGCTTTGCCAGACCAGCCCACGTTGATGTCCAGAAAGTGGCTTCGGCAGTCAGGCACGGCCTGCCATCCAGCCTGGCAGGATGACCAAGAAGTACTCCTTCCGGTTAATGTAGAAGGAGACCTGGTGTTCTGGGGCACGGATGGGGGTGTGCATCCCATCAATTGCCCCCTCCCCCCCGTCCCGCAGTTGGGGAAGGCCAGGGTACCAAACCTCTCAATGACTGTGTCCAAATCTCTGAGGCATACAACTCTGCGGAGCAGCACTCTGTTGATGGCCTTGACCACCTGCAGAGGGACACACCTCTGCCATCCTGGCCACCGTGGGCAGTCTGTAGTGTGGGTGGGACAGAACAAACCCTCCTGGGGAGGGGGACTTGCACCCCCTCCCCCTCTTTGCCCTAGAGCAGCCCATCCCCTCCTTGTACCCCCCCCTCCTGGCACAGTGGCCAGAAACTGCCATACCTGCATGAGCACTGCTCCAATGGTGGATCTCCCCACACTGAACTGGTTCCACACAGCTATCCGTCATGGAGAACTTCCAGAGGTTGATGGCCACATGTTTTTGAGGGGAATGGCTGGCCTCATGTGCTTGTCCCATTGCTGCAGAGCAGGGCAAGCCACTTACAGAGATTGAGGAAGGTGTCCTTCTTCATCCTAAAGTTCTGGGTCCATTGTTGATCTCCCCAGCGCTCCAGGACGACGTGATCCCACCAATCGCTGCTGATGTCCAGATGCGGTGGGGCATGCTGGCGTCTAAGAGCTGTAGCTGCTTCTCCACAGCCCCCCAGGAGGGTCCAGAAGACGGCCTGGGGGTTGGGCTGCAGCAGATGTTGCAAGGCAGCCTCCAGAAAGTGCAGCCAAACTCACAGCAACATATCCAAAAGAAGCACACGAGTGCCCAGGGGCAGCTCTGGCTCCATGGTGCAGAGTGCTGTGGTGTCCTGAGTGAGGACAACCAAAGCATCCAGGGAAAAAAATGCTTTGTCCCTCAGCGAGGTAGGCAAGCAAATAGGGGAACACGAGAACCGGTTGTCCAGGGGGATCCCTTTAAGCAAAGGCCTCAGCCTCAGGTAGCAGCCACACACACTAAGTCCTGACCTAATGCTCTGCCAGAAGTGGTTTCAGCTGCCCTTAAATGTGATTCAGCATCCAATCAGTGTGGGTGCACTATTTTGAAATAGAAAAATGCTATTTTGAAATGCATTTTGTGTTTAGATGTGTTATTTCGAATTATCTTATTTTGAAATAACTATTTCGAAATTAGATATTTTTAAATAACACTGTAATATAGATGTACCCCTAGATATTAAATCCAGCCCTAGCTGCTGCCGGCCCTGCCCAGCAGAAGGGTTACACTAGAAGAAGGAAAATGTTTTTAAACTGAATGTCAACAGTATGTGCTGGAGCTGGACTACTTCAGAGTGAGAATCTAGACTAACAGATTGACAAAAGAAGCCGTTGGAGATAGCCCAATGCTTCCCACTGATAAATCACAGAAATTGCTATTCCAGTTACAGATGTAGTACCTCCAGCTGACTTTACTATTTACAGTTTAATGACTGATCTCTTTGCCATTCTGAAGATGTAATTTAAGTTGCTGAATGTTGTGTGAAATATCAGCTAAGCATAGATGCAGTGTAGAGAGTCTGTGACAAACCCCTCTCCCCCAGATTTATGAAATGGACTCATGGACATGAATATACATAACTCAAAGGTGGTTTGAGTAAATGATTTCATGTAACCCATCAATCTTCATGTCATGATCTGCTGGTTTGGTTTATCTTACTCTGTTGTATGTACTGTTTGAGTGTGGAAAATTATACACTTGGAGCGGGGAATACTTTGTGGGTTTCAAACGTGAATGAGAGACATGGAGAGTGTTACCCTCAACTGTTAAACTATCTCTTTTGTCCGTACGTCTGGGCAGTGGTTGGTAGGGAGGGGCCTCAATTCTTTAACAAAAAGAATAGGAGAGGAGAGGCCTTGATCTTTTGGCTGGGCTGCACCTGAAGGCAGGGGCCAGGGCCCCCAGGGTGTGGAAGACAGCCTGGTTTAGAGTGGCAGTTGGAAAAGAGGTTTTAGGGCGAGTTTAAGTTTGCACTGAGGTTTCAGTGGAGAATTTGCCAAGCGGTTTTGTTTTGTAACCTACTTTGCTCTGCCTACTTTCACTTATTACCATTTAAATCCTACTGCTTCAACTTAATAAAACCATTTTTATTTTCTATCAAACCCAGTATAAGCGATTGTTACCTGGGGGGCAACCAGTGTGCACGTTCCCCCTTTCGTTGTTAATTCTTTGGGGTTTGATCCCATCTGGGGAGTGCTCTCTCAGGAGACTGGGCCCTAAACTGCATTCTCCTTGGACCTGAAGAGGTTCAGTGTCTGTGCTGCTTCTCGGTGGGGGCAAGGACCTCAGCTTGGGGGAGACCAGGGAGCTGACCCAGCAGGACTGGGCAGTGAGGAGCCCCAGAAAGCAGGAAGGCGAGTAGCAGAGGCCGGGTCAGCACCCCAGGAGGCACCCCCAAGGGGTCATCTGTGACCGCACCCCGTCACAGAGTCCTAGACCAGTTTCCTAGGAAACCTCTTCAAAGACCTATTTGTTGTAAAAGTTTTTGATGCTGTAAGGAAGAGCTTTTGCCTGGCTTAAGGGAAATTAATTGTTTCCTGACTAATTTAAATATCTGAGGAAGCATCTTGTAAAATGTCCTTTTAAATGTATTAAAAAAAAAAAAGCATAAAGGTTTTTCGGCTTCCTTATTGACATGTATTAGCGCTTTTTTTTTTTTTTTTTTTTTTTTCTGGTGAATCTGTTTTTTCTCTGGCTGTCACCCAGTAAAAACAGTGAAACTGACACTAAGCCAAATGCATAAAGGAAACACACTTGAGAAAATATATTGTTCTGCTAATGACTTTCAGTTTGTCATCTTAGATAGTTCTTGTTACAATAATAGGTATGATCCCTTCAGGTAGAAATATAATATTCAAGTTGATGGTGTCCCAAGTTGAATGGTAGGGGTGCATGTGTAAAAGTTAACACCCGTCTCTGGCAGCAAAACGAGAGAGAGGTCAGTTGATCAAATACACAACTAATGAAATTATTTCAATGGGCCTATACTTGGGAGTAAGCAGTGTCTTTCTAAAATACTTGTATTTGCCCCCTAACAGCTGGAGCTGTATAAATGCCTAACACCACCATAAGATATACAGGACTGGCAGCATTATGGAAGTCACATTAAGGTGGTTATGTCTCCATTTACATTCCTTCAATTTTCTTTAAAAAAACCCTCAAAACTTCAACATACAACTTCTTATTTGCTCTCTAGGAACATCACCATTAGTTTGGGCATTTTTTATATACACTAATTATAATAGGGTGTCTTGCCACTTTAAGGGCCGGAAGGCTTAGGGTTGGCCAGCCAGTCCTGTTCAATTAACCAACCTGTATTCAATTAACCGGCCTGTATCGGTTATTGGACTTAGGAGGAAGAAAGCCCAGTGGTTAGGTGCTGTCTGGAGAGGAGAGCAAACAGGTTCCTCTCATATGAGACAAGAAGCCTGGCTCAGGTTAGGAACAGTCTGATGGCAGTGGCCAGCCCTACTCTTGGTAGGAGGGTAGATCTGGACCAGATTGTTGGGAGATCCGTAGCCAGTGGTTAGATGGTACCATAAGACAGGCCATTGCTGTCCACCTGCATGAAAAAAATATAAGGCATGGAGTTGAATTTTTCTTGTATTTCTCATGAATTATTTTATAATTTGAATGTACAACCTACTTCCCCTGTTGTAGGATGTTTCGTAAGCATGAAATGGACTTACACCATCATATAAGCACACAGGAATTGAAAATGTTATAGTTTCACATTTTAGAAGGTACTTTACTAGATGAAATACTTTAATACTACATTGTTTACTTACTCAGAAATGTTGCTACTGCCTCAACAGCACCGTTATAAACATAACTCTGAGATGGTGCTTTGTCGTTCCATAATACCTGGACATAATTCACAACCTGGTTATAGCCAGCAGTGGCTAAAGCCCACCAGAGGGACCAGAAAAGAAGATTCTTTGTGCAATAGCATTCCTTTAAATCCTTGCATAACTGCACAAGCATGTGATGCTGGTGCTTGTCAGACTGGCATTCAGGTGAAGTTGAGGGGATGACAGATTTCCTAGCAGCTTTGTCCTCTTGGCAACTTAGCTGCTTGATGCTGGATACATTTGGCATTGTGTCTTGATCCGTGGCTCCTTGGGGAGTTCCAGGGCTATGCTTTTTGTGAAAGAACATGCTGCTTTTTGGCATTGGTAGAAAAAATGAGGATAGGAACGCCACAGATAAGGAAGCCAAACTGATGGCATTGAGATAAAAATAGGACAGATTTGCCAGAGATACTAAAAGTTGCCCCAACGCCGCTGCAACTGTGCTGGCAACCAGTGTGATGCTTCTGCAATAGCTAGTCACTTTCTGATAATGGTCAGCACTGACGATGCTGTAAATGTAGGCATAATAGGCAACTTCGGTAGCTGTTACCATTCCATAAAAAAACTCCATTATCTGCATTGCGAGCACTCCTTTGGCAAATAAAAGCATCAGCCATGTAATAATGAAGCTAAAGCCTTGTAGAGTGATGATGGGCTTATAGCGCACGTAGTCTGTAATCAAAAAAACAGGAAACAGCAGCACCAGATAAGAGTATGTCCAAACTGGGAAAATCTTGTTTGTAGCCTAGAAGGGAAAGGAAGGAATGCTGTGATTTTTTTTGTGTATAAGTGAATGCATTTGGAGACAGGATCACACTCATTGCTGTTCATTCAGTGCATAAAATACAGAACTATAAGTATGCATGATGCACAAATCTTGTACTACTTTCACCGCTTTAATAAAAATATTTTCTGTCTACGAACCACCTGATTATTACCTTCTGTCATGAAATTCTCAGCTGGCCCTTTAAGACAGAACTGGGGATTGAGCTCCTAGTCTTTCACAGGAGAAATATCATGCATGTATCTTTCTGTAATAAACTAGCCAATTAGCCCACCATAAAACGGGATTTTCAGGTCTTTCCTCCACGTTGGTCTTCTCTCCTGAGCCTCCAGTCTCTCTCTCCTCCTCCTTCTTCTGCCTCCTACTGCCCCCCCAACTCTCCTCCGCCTTCTGCCTCTCTCCGTCTCTCTCTTTCTCTTTTCCCCCTCCTGCCTCTCACTCTCCCTTTCTCTTCTCCTCCTCCTCCTCCCTCTCACTCTCTTCGCTCTCCTCTGTCTCCGTCGGGGATGCACCCTCGTCCAGGCCCCTCTCCCACTGACTTCTGCGCTGCTCAGCGGGCTACCACGTGGGAGCAAGCAGAACAAACGGCCTCTCTCTCTCTTCTCCTCCTACTGCCTCACCCTCCCTCTCTCTCAGCTCTCATCTGCCTCCTGCCTCTCTCTCCATCTCTCTCTTCTCTCCCTCCCGCCTCTCACTCTGTGTTTCTCTTCTCTTCTCCTGCTGCGTCTCTCGCGCACTCTCTCTTGCTGTCCTCTGCCTCCTCCGTTCTCCTCTCTGTCTCCTCTGCGTCCGCTCTGCTTTCCTCCTTTTGAATCCGGTGCCCTTTCCTGATGTCAGAGATGCATGGTCATCCAGGCCCCGCCCCCTGGCTGTTCCCTCTGGGTGGCGCTGTTGCCTCCCGCCGTGGTGCTCTGCTGATTTCTGCGCTGCTCAGCCGGTCCGTCATGAGTACGGACCCCAAACGGCCACTTGTGCCCGCGCGGCGGCCCGACTGAGCGACGCAGAAGTCAGCCGAACGCCATGGCAGGAAGCAACAGCGCCGCCCAGAGGGAACAGCCAGTGTTTCAGCATTACAGAGTCACAGACATTGGGCTACTATTATATATGATGTCTGAGACTGAGATTGCCTTATAGTTTCTTTCTGAAGAATAAAGTGTACTCAGTGTTTTGTTCCATATAATGAGAAGCCAGTTGTAGCCATACCTCCTCAATGGTCAGGTTTTTATCTGGTCCCACTAGATAAGGGGTGAGAAAAGGTTCTGATGGCCTCATCATGGAGAAGAAGCCATATATGCAAAGGACCAGAGTAGGATAAATCCAGCTTTTGCTTTGTACTTCCTTCCAGCAATCCATGCCCTGGCCAACTGAAATAAAGCGAAGGAAATGGTTAGTTAGTAGACTGGGGCTCTTCACTGGAATTGAAGGTTATTTTAACATTTATTATTTTTAAAAGGTCTTGAACATTGAATACAGAAGTTCCGCCTTTTGTTAAAAATGCAGCGAACTCTTGCTGAAATGTGCAGACTGGTAGAAATTCCATTCAGTTTGTGTTTATTTTAAAGGATTTGAAGGGATTACAAAGGACTGCTTCCAAGAGTGTTCACTATGGAATTCAGTTTAATTATTCTCTTATTTAAATATTTTATGACAATGAAATTAACCCAGGAAAAATTCCAAGAGTGTTCACTATGGAATTCAGTTTCATTATTTTCTTATTTAAATATTTAATGACAATGAAATTAACCCAGGAAAATTTTTCCCAGACAGTTGATGATTGAGGAATTGTTTTTAACTTGCATTACCTACTTGAGAGCAAACTGTGCCCCAGTTTGATCTGTTTCTTAATTTTTTCCTCCCAGATCTTTCTGCTTTCATGTGCAGGTCTCCCAAAGCTCAGTGGAAGTCAGGCTGCCCAAAGAGGGGAGAAGACTTTAGTAAACTATAGAAAGGATACTCTGCAAGTGTAAACTGGCAGAGTTCCACACAAGCCTGCTTTGTATCCAGTCTCATTATTTAAAATGTAAGTGGAAGTTGTTTAAATGGACCCTGCTCAGGTGCAAGTGTAAATGAATGTGGGTGAGCCAAATTCAGATGACATGCCTCACTGGAAGCTGTGTCTTCTACACTAACTTGAATTCTCTTTAGAAGTTTGACTGTAGCTTACACTATCTTCAGTGTGACTTCTGAATTTGAGCTGGTTAATCTATTGGGAATCTTAGCTGGTACCACTTTCAGTCACCTCAAAGCACAGGTTGCACTATTTTAGATCCCCAGAGGTTCATTTCAGCTTTCATCCTCATGCCAATGTATAACTTTATGCCTAGGGCTGACTGAACATTTTCAGTAATTTTTGATGGGAAATACATTTTTTCAATTAAGCAGATTTTTGTTCAGAATGTATGCTTTTGTCAAATTTCAGCTTTCACTGGCAAACCTGAAAGTCACACTGCTTTCAATTTAGGGATGAAAAGTCACAAATTTCCATTGAAACTCTGACAATCACCACCACTCCATTAGATACATTTTTCTGTGCAGCTATACACCTACTAATTCTAAGGGAGTTCAGATTGTTTAATTCACTATCTAATGTGCCAGAAGAGTTGTTATAGGAAGCAAAGTGATTTGCAGGGTGTGTATATAAAGTAAGGACTTTCAAGTCTACTTTAATTTACACCTTCTTCTACCACACTTGGTTAGGATCCCTGACATGGCAGGAAGTAGGGATTCTGATTTATTCGCTTTTCAAATTCTGAAGCAATGCATAATCTATTGACTTCAATAGATTTACTTCAGGTTTGTTTGTCCTGGGTGAATTTTGTTGGAGAGCCACTAGGGGGCAAGATAATCTCAACAATTGAGCAGAGGACAGTAAAGAGCCAAATGCCAGAGTAGATTAGAGCTGTACTGCTACCACTGAACTGGTCCTACTTCTATCCTTGACATTGCAGTCACTAGTCCTGTTCCATTGCTGAAACTGCAGCCGCACGTTCTGACTCTGCCATGTCTTCTATCCTCCCATTTCATCACAACAGCATTTTCTCACTGTATTTCCCGAAGAGGAAAATGACACCCTCAACTGCTCAGCCGAAGCCAGGTCCCCCCCGCCCTCCCGGCTGTTGCTGGTCACTGGAGCATCTCATCCCTCCCATGCTGGGTTGCTGCCCAGTCACTGGAACCCTGTAAGGGCCCTGCGTGCTGGAATGCTGCTTCCCCACTCAGCCAAGGGGGCTGGCATCTCCACTTGCCCCATCTGCATTGCACCCCCCATCCCTAAGAGTGGGTATTTGTCTCCTTTGCTCTTGCTGATGAAGTCAAATGCCTCCTGACTCTCTTATCCCCAGAAGGCTGGCTGTGAGCAGGGCTTAAAAAGAGGGACAGTCCTGGCCAAAATGGGGCATGTGGTCATTCCTGACCCTCCTTTCCCTTGAAGAGAAGTGACACCACTGTTGCTGCTAAGATACAACATGATGGGCAATCCTGTAACTGGACAGATATGCTTCACAAGATACCGAGAGGCTGAACAATAACAGCAAAAAACACATTTCCCTGTGTACTTAAGAGGAGCATATTTAGCAAAACTCATGTCACCTGCATAGATAACCAAGGCTCCAATTCCTTCTTATTGGGTTTGCTTTTTAGAGCTAGTCTGCCACTACACACCTTCAAGAATTAAGGTAGATTCTTTGCTGTGTGCCTGGCCATGCTGTGAGGGCCAATGCAAGGGGTTGGGAGACCCCTGCTTTCTCCCCATCTCATTTGAGACTTTTTTCCATCACTAGGGATGCTAGCAGTGAGCAGCACCTGTGTGCTAGGGAATTCAGAGGCTGCTGTGCAGTTGATTAAAAGGGTGGGTGCTGTTTTTACACTTCGCTCCCATGTGCATCCATAGAGCACCCAGGGACAATGACTCATAGTTAGGCTGCGATTAAGTCATGGACTCTGACTTCCATAGACTCCTGTGACTTCCACCAGTGCTAGTTGGGAGCTGCAGAGTTCCCTGCTATCTGTGGAGGCAGGGAGCTGTGGAGTGCCCCAGATGGAGGTAGCTCCTAGCCTCTGTGGGTCGGGGAGGGGGGAGGGAAAGACCCCTTCTCCCACAGCTGGGAGTCACCAGCGGAGATGGACCCTGGAGCTGCAAGCCCCAGGATGGTGGAGGGCACTGGAGCTCCCAGCACACGAGTAGATGCCCAGCCTCTCTTCCCCCATTTTGTCACGGATATTTTTAGTAAGAATCACAGGGATAGGCCACAAGCTTCCATGAATTTTCATTATTGCCCATGTCCTGTCTGACTTTTACTAAAAATATGTGATACAATCTTACCTTACCCATAGTTAATATAAAAATCGAGTGTCCGTGCATTTTTTCTGGACAACTAATATCTCATCACAGTAATCTTTGTTCTGAGCAACATGAGCATCACCCTCTACAGGTTTCAGCAAATGCTACTTGAACCTTTCTTTTTATACTTGAGCAACCCTAGTGAGTACACCCAGACCCAGTGCCATGCACACACAAACTAATTCCCAATCCAGGCACAGGTTTCTTACAGCTGTGTCCTGTTTTTCCTTTCCCTTCAGTCTTTTTCTTCATCTTACCCAAGAGCATAAGTGATTTTTATTGTTGCTGTGGCACTTATATGATGGACAATCGTTCTTGAAGGTAAGCTTTTTACCTTTTCACTGAAGTTCTGCAGGAAAGGGCTGTCCCTTGCACTTTCCCTTTGTTACCACCCCTTCTTTTACTCTAATAGTTCTTTGTCCTTTTGAAAAGTTGCTAAACTTCCTTGATTGTGAAACAGCAACAACACCTCTTTGTTTTCCTATTTACCCATCCAGATCTTAATCTCATCACTTTTTCCAGAGCTGCTATTCTTTCCCTGCCCTTCTCATTTCGTTAATTTTCATATTCTTATAGCGCTGAATTATCTCCCTTTCTTTTCTCCCTTTTCCCATGGAAGTTATTGGACTATAGGTTTTGTAAACTCAGATGCAATCAAACCTGGTCTGCCGTGGCTGGTTCTTGAATCTCTTTTGCCCCGCCTCGGTACAGTTCCCTTTTTAATATTCCATGTTCTTTTGTTTCTCCTAGTTCAAAAAACTTGTTCCTCTTGCATTCCAGCTACTGTAGTACTCCTGTTTGGCCTCCTTCCTGCTGCACTTGTCTTTTCAACTTGATTTACCAGACACCTTCCTGAAAATCTGCCCAGCTGGCTCTGTTGCACCACTCCCTTTGGAATTAGTTCCAAGTGTTTTAAAGGAACAGTAAATTAATTCTGGCATATTATTTATTTGCACTGTGCAGGGACAGAAAGACACCAGCTAATAAAGACGAGGGCGCACGCTGCTACTCCCTGTGAAACATACAGGTGGTAAATGTGATCCCTTTTCCTGAAGAACTTGTCATCTAAATGACTGTGTGGACTGTAGACCAACAAAGTGATGGAGGTCAAGGACAAGCATACTGATACCAAGTAATGAGGTGATGAGAGCCAGTTACTGAATGGTTTGTTGGTTCCAAATCATTCCAATGGTTTACTATATAAAATAGTTGCTGGGTGGGGCTAGTCCCTGGAAGAGGCCACAACCAAAGTGGTTCTGGAGAAGGGTAGTGAATAGGAGAATAACTGTCAGACTACAAAAGATGTATGAAGTGTACATATAAGTGTATGCAGTGTAGTTGTTGGGCTCTGAGATCTTCCACGTGGCCAGATCTTCCACTGGGCTAAGTTAGCATAGGCCTGCTAGGTTCTCTAAATCTTGCAGACACACAGTGGCTGAAGTATATGGTCTCAGGAGATTCTGCTCCAGCCACTGGGCTAAGTTAGCATAGGCCTGCTAGATTCTCTAACTGCCAATTTATACTTAGAAAATCTTGCAGACACATAGTGGCTGAAGTATATGGACTCAGGAGAATAGCAAGCTATGGAGACTAGCACTGTGTAGCTAAAACAAAGGAACTTTGTTTTTAATAGAAGGGACACTGTACTCCCTTCCATACCCTTTTAGTTCACTAGACCTCCCGTTGCCCATGATTTGCCCATCCTTACTGATCACACTGAGGCTGTGTCTAGACTGCATCCCTTTTCCATAAAAGGGATGCAAATTAGACACATCGCAATTGCAAATGAAGCGGGGATTTAAATCTCCCCCGCTTCATTAGCATAAAAATGGCTGCTGCTTTTTTCCGGCTCGGAGCTTTGCTGGAAAAAAGCGCCAGTCTAGACGCGGATCTTTCAGAAAATAAAGCCTTTTCCGAAAGATCCCTTACCCCTTATCCCTCCGGTAGAGAGGTGACTGGAGCATTCCTACACCTCAGCAATTCCCAGCTGCCAAACTGATTGCATGAGAGCGTAGGCAGCCAAAGAGCAGCCCTGAGATTGCTTTACTTTACACTGGGTCCTGCCCAGTAGCTAGAAATCTGTACATTTGGAGATGATGAAGTATGAAGATGGCTTAATACCACCATTGCACATACCTCTTTCTCCAGCTGCTGCCAGCACTGTCAGCGGGATACAATAGAGTCTGTACCTGTATTTGTATTTTTTCTGAAAGGTCTTCCTCCTTTTCTGAATAAAAACTATTTGTTGAAATGAGAACATATGAATCTTATCCACCAATCTTTAAATCTTGCTTGCAAACAAATGATTGTCAGGGCAGTGAATGAGTGGCCAGCTGGGCAGGAGCTGGACAATGCGGGGCCCTGAATACGCAGGGCCCAAGGCAACCGCCTTGCTTGCATTCCCCAAAGTCCGGGCCTGGCTCCGTTAATGCCAAGGCCTTCAACTTCCAACCTGTGTGCTTGCACAGACAGGGAGTGTGTCTGAGGGATGTAGGTGTAGAGGAAAGAGTTGTTTAAATCAATTCCCAGTTGCTAAGACTCCAAGGACCTATTACAACAGCCATGAAGTTCCCACTTCATGCTTCAGTGACAAGGGGCAGGTGGGGTGGCACAGGAGATAAGATCACATACTCGCATACTATCCACTTTAGGAGTATATTTAACAGTCTTCTGGCATTGCAGGGTGCCCGAGAGGAAGAAGCCCTGAAAGAATGCCTTGGACCTTCAGAGGAAAGGTGGCCTGGGCCAACCCAGTGCCTGTGCATCAGTCCGTGTGTAATGTCAGCAGGCAGAATTGAACCTGGTGTGGAAGAAAACAAGCCTT